TGTTTCTGGAATTGTTTCATTGGGATATTTTTCTATTCTTGCACCAACATTTCACTGTTTTAATTACTATAACTTTATAATAAATCTTGATAACCTGGTTGTGTAATCTTTTAGCTATATTCTTCAAGATATTGGCTCTTCTTAGTCTTTGTACAAATTTTAGAATCATCCTGTCAATTCTACAAAAAAATTTTAACTTTCTGGGATTTTTATTTGAATTGTATTGACTTTATAGATCAATTTTACGAAAATTGCCATCTTTACAATCTAGGAATATATCTCTTCATTTACTTAGGTCTTTTTAATTTCAATAAAATCTTGGCTATCTTTTGTTAAATTTATTCTTAGGTATTCAATCTTTTTATGCTATGATAAATAATACTTTAATTACATTTAGTAATTATTTGTTACTGGGATATAGAAATGCAATATATTTTTGTATGTTTGTATATAGCAATCTTGAATTCACTTATAGTTTGTAGATACTTTTGGATTTTCTACATGCATAATTACATCATCTGTGAGTAATAGTAGTTTTATTTCTTCCTCTTCAATCTTTATACTTTTTATTACTTTTTTAATCTATATGTCTTTATGTCCATTTTCTGCTTTATTGACCTATTGAGAGCCTCCAGCACAATGTTGAAAAGAGGCAGTCACATTAAGTATTTTTGTATTTTTCCAATCTTAAGAACAAAGCTTTCAATATTTCACCATTAAGTATAGTGTTTTCTGTGACTTGTTGTGATACTCTATCAGAAAACCATTTGATTTTTAAGCAAAGTCAGAACAGGTTAAGAATAGTTTTAAAAGAGTGTAATGTACAATAAGGGGAAAGATATGATTTATCAAGACTTGCACTTTTAATTTCCATTATACATTAACTGGTTCAGCCTCCCAATTAACTCTACTATCACAAACTAGAGTTGTTTCCTAGTTTGCTTTTTTGGACAAAATATTAACAAATGTTTACTGGGTATTTAGTATATGCCAGGTACTGGGCCTTTTTCTTTCTTCTTCTCCTTCTTCTTCTTCTTCTCCTTCTTTTTCTTCTTCTCCTTCTCCTTCTTCTTCTTCTTCTTCTTCTTCTTCTTCTTCTTCTTCTTCTTCTTCTTCTTCTTTTTTCATGCTTTGTTTCATTTAATCTTCTCAATAACCCTGAAACTTAGATAGTACTGTAAAGCCCCCATTGTACAGATGAGAAAATTTCTCTAAGCCTTATTTGTACAAAATTTATAAGTAAGAACTGGAATTTGAACTTTGACTCCAAAGTCCATCATTCTCTAAGCTGCTTCAAAATATAAACATTTTGTTATGTTTGTGTACAAAGGTCTGGCTCAAAGATAGATTGTATGGTCTATGATGCTATTGGAAAAGTTGTTTTGTGATACTGAGATCATAAGTCATAAGTATACTTTTCTCTCTATTAGATTGAGAGTCATGGAATGAGTTTGCTTCAGCCACTTCTTTCATTCAATCACCATGGTTATGAATTTATTGATATCATTCTTATTTAAACACTAGAGGCCCAGTGCATGAAATTCGTGCATGGGAAGGGGGGAGGGGGTATCCCTCAGCCCAGCCTTCATCCTCTTCAATCTGGGACCCCTCAGGGGATGTTGGATGGCTGGTTTAGGCCCAATCCATAGATCCATTAGGCCTAAGCTGGCAGTCAGACATCCCTGTCACAATCTGGGATTGCTGGCTCCCAACTGCTCACCTGCCTGCCAACCTGATCACCCCCTAACCACTCCTCTGCCAGCTTGATTGACACCTGATTGCTTCCCTGCCAGCCCTATTGCCCCCAACTGCCCTCCCCTGTTGGCCTGGTAACTCCCAACTCCCTCTCCTGCTCGCCAGGTTTCCCCCAACTGCCTTCCCCTGCCAACCTGGTCTCCCCTAACTGCCCATTCCTGCAGGCCCGGTTGTCCCCAACTACCCTCCCCTCCTGGCCCGGTCATCCCAACTGCCCTGCTCTGCAGGCCTGGTTTCCCCCAACTGCCCTCTCCTGCCAGTCCGATCAACCCTAACTGACCTCCCCTGCAGGCCTGGTCATTCCTAACTGCCCACTCCTGCCAGCCTGGTTGCCCCTAACTGCCCTCCTCTGCTGGCTTGCTCACCCCCAACTGCCTTTCCCTGCTGGCCTGATTGCCCACAACTACCCTCCCCTGCTGGCCATCTTATGAAAGTGTGTTCTCACCATCTTTGACCACATGGGGGTGGCCATCTTGTGTGAGGGCATGAGGGTTAATTTGCATATTAACCTCTTTATTATATAGGATACTTTAGTTCCTTATGAATCCAGTGTTAGAGAAATTTCCATTGGCATTAATTCCTAATTTCTGCCATGGTGCATTTAATTTAGAATACCACAGGGCTATGTGCTCATGATCATTTCATTGTTTATTCCAAGAGTCCGTATTCCTCTAGCAGCAGAAGAGAACCCAACAGACACTATTTCATCTCTGCAGAATCCGGAGCTGCTAGTTGTCAGCTCTGCTTATATAATTCAGAAGAGCACTTAACACTGTTTAACAGACTTTTGTGCGGAGAGGGCCTGGGTGTGCAGGCCCTGCCAAGTACCCTTGGTTATGGAGAAAAACCATTTGTATTTGAAAATTGCAAATCAGCCAGGCAATCACCACACAGAAATAGCCCCCATGAAAAGAAAGCAGTGCTATATTTGAAGCCTTAATCATGTATATTTATAGGCCTGAGTTTAGTTCTATTGGGAAATGTTCACATTATACAGTAACATAGTGATTACCAACATGCTCAGAGGGGGAGGGGAGGGAATGTTTGAGCCACTTAAGTTTTATGAGTAATGGGGAATTAGTTACAAAGAATTTTCCTGTCCACCCTTTGCTGAATGCCTTTCAAAAATTGCTTTAGTCAGCCCATAAGCTCAGAAGGCCCCTTGTGAGGGGAGGAGTATGGAAGTGGGTCCTCACCAGATTTGTACATGAAAAGCCACCATTAGAGACCCAGTCTATGCTTAGGACCCTTTCCCACATTAAAATGAAAAGCAGTCGGTTTGACTAACAAACTGCACAGATTACTATTTTAGAACCCAGTATTAATAAGTTTATCAGGATACTTCCTAAGGGAAAATTTGAAAAGATACGGATACTTGAGGGCTGTTGGTACCTGGAGTGAGAGCAAGTCAGCGGTTTCCAAATGCTGCCCTTCAGTGAATACTGTCACTGATCTGTGATGACCCAGCATTTTGTTGACAGATTCACACACGGAAAATGACTCATCAGATTCCTCACCCTCACACCTGCTTCGGTGGCATTTGCTGTCTCCCCATGTAGTCACTTTGGCTGGTTTCACAAACACTGAGCAAACACTTGAAGGATTAGAGGAAAGGAGACCTTTGAAAACTAGAGGAAGAATATTTCAGGCAGAGGAAACGGCAGCTTGAAGGCCCTGACCCAGGACCTGGCCAGGGTGTCTAAGGTGAATCAGGGACAGTGGAAGGAAAGGGAGGCCAGAAGTAATGTGTTGGCATTTTTCACTGTTCAAATGAGAAGGTTTAGAGTTGGCTTTCGCATCTCTTTCTACCTCTGTGTTTTAGATCACTTCTTCCCCAAATGCTCTGAAACATTTCTTGCAATTGCGACCCCCCAGCTCTATTCCTATTGTTGTGGCAAAAGATCAGTTCCTCCTAGAGACTCGGGCCTTTCCCTGCCCAGATCTGTCCTCCATTCCTTTCACGCCACACATCTGAGCATGTAGTTGCTACGTGCACTGTCCTCAGTGGCTCCCCATGCTCCATACCAGCACTAGCCAACAGCTCTCTGCAATGACAGAGATGTTCTCCAATCTGTGCTAAGGTCCACAGGTGCATTGGAAAGGTGGCCAGTGAGACTAAGAAACTGAATCTTACATTTTATTTTAGGTAGTTTATATAGCCACATGTAGCTAGTGGCTTCAATCTTGAAGCATTTCTATGGTTTTGAACCTTTTAAGAAAGTCATATTGCCCTTTCATTGCTGGGAGGAAATCAGGTTCTTCCATGGGATTTTGAGAACAGCATTCCTAGGTCCCAAGCACAGGAGATTGTGGTGTGGTAAGGTTTATTCCCAAAGGCTGCTCCTCCTGGGTTCCCAATGTCCCATCTCACTCATCGTGTCATGGAAAGAGTCCAACCGCATCTTCATCAAGGCCAAAGCCATGGCCAGGTCCAGAGTTCCTGTTTCATATTAAAATGGAGTCCTTTGGAGCCTCTGTAGCTGGCCAAGGGCCCCAGGTGGCCTAGACCAGCATGGTTGCTTATAGAGAGAACTTGAGAGTGCAGAGGCAAGTGTGTTATGGGCTGAGGGAGGGAGAGAGGGAGCAAGCAGGCTCAGTGTCTGATTCCCTTTGCTTTCTTCCTAATGTCTAGCCACCTAAGGTAACACTTCAGGAATCTAATGAAAACTTAATTTTTCTTTAGCAATTCAGTTAGTTTTCCTAGAATTTCTTTTTTTCAATTTCTTAATTTTTATTTTTCAATTACAATTTATATTCAATATCATTTTAATTAGTATGCATAGTGGTTAGACATTTATATAACTTACAAAGTGGTCCTCCTGATAAATCTAGTACATACCTGGCCCCATACAAAGTCAATATTATTGACTATATTCCCTATGCTATACTTTATATCTCTGTGACTATATTCTAACTATTTATTTGTACTTTCACCATTTTCATCCAGCCCCTTACCCCCATCTCATCTGACAACCATCAGTTTGTTCTCTGTTATCTAGGAGTGTTTTTTCCTGGAATTCTAATAGTTCATGACTCCATGGAGCCCATCCACATATCCCTGGTTAAAATCCCTGGCCCATGAGTGAAGTCCAAGCACATTTCCAGGGCTGAGAAATGGATAGTGTGTGGATAATGTCCTCATTCTCAAGCTAGATTGGATGGGTGGGTTGTCCTGAGCAGACTATTTGGAGGGGTCAGTGATGACCAGGAAAGGAGGCAGGTCGGTCCCAGCACATCAGTACGACATGCCAGGCAGCACCATGTGGGAAGTGAGCAGAGCAGAGCAGATGGGAAATGCAGTGCCGGAGGGGCAAGGCCACACAGTTCACGCTGGAGGTCGTGGGGGAGTGCTGCCAGTGCTTCAGCCACACTCGCTTAGTTACCACTGCTTTTCCCAGTCTCCAGACACCCAGCGAGGGTTAGTAGTTTGGAGTCAGGAGAAGCTAACAAAAGTTGCTGAACTAGCTCTGCCACTTGATAACTGGGTGACCCTAAACCACACTGCATTAGTTTTCTCATCTGCACAATTAGGGTAATAATGCCTTTCTAGAAGAGCTGTTATAAGGATGAAATATGTTGACAATGGGAATTGACTAATAAAATGCAGCCACATAATGGAACTCAATAAACAGTAGTTTAATACTATTTATTAAGTTAATAACAGTTAATACTGTTCATCACCATTAATATTGTCTATCTGAATGGTGGTGTTACCACATGATGCTACAGTTACTGGCTTATAAATGTGGGTTCCAGAGTAACATTCCTGTTTCAAGCAGATTAAGAAGCCACCGGATACAAAGAAGGAGCAGATGGCCTGGTCCGCTAGTCAGAGAAGTTATTTGGTTAAAACTTTAGGGCACCCTTACTGCATATCCCACTCTTCCATCGGACGGACCAGCAATATAATAAATATGTACCTTCCAGACCTGATTTGCATGGCTTGAAATGTCCAAAAAGATCTGATCAAGAATGTTCTTTCTTAGACCTGGCATTGTCCAAATCCTCTGCTTTTTGCATACCTTGGTTTAACAGACCAGTGTCGGACAGCATGTGAGGTGGTGTGGGGAAGCCAGGACTTGGTGGGAAGGTCTGGAAGAAGGATTCTCCAAAAGGTCGGGGCCTCTAGGGGGACCTTGCCAAAGGAAGCCCTTACCTTGACTTTTCCAAACAACTCCGATCCCCTGAGTGTTTTGCTAAAATCTCTATGTTTAGTCTTTTAGACCCAACCTTGTAGAAGCATGTGTTTTCCCATGGTGTTTAACCCTGCTGATTGTATCTAGAGATTAATTTTAGTTCAAGCTGTTGTGACAATAAAAACCTAAGAAGGCATGCAATCGAGGCTTTTTTGGCTCCTGATGTCAGCTAGCCCCTTAGCTTCTCATTCTCAGAAACGTGTGTCAGAGTAATCATTCATTCGTCAGTCAGGAGCTGCTGGTCAGCTCGGGCAAAGTGGTGCCCGTGTGAGGAGCCAGGAGTGCAATGAAACTCGAGGGAACCCTCGAAAACTAAGAGAAAATGAAAGTAATCACGCAGTAAGTCATTGGAGCCCTCTTGGGATTTCCAAGTCCGAGGGAATTGTTTCTTAGCTAAGGTATTCACTATCTGTTATGCTTCTTAAGAATGAGAGTATGGCCGAAACCGGTTTGGCTCAGTGGATAGAGCGTAGACCTTCAGACTGAAAGGTCCCGGGTTCAATTCCAGTAGAAGGCATGCACCTTGGTTGTGGGCACATCCCCAGTGGGGGGGTGGGGGGCGGTGCCGGAGGCAGCTGATTGATGTTTCTAACTATCCCTCTTTCTTCCTCTCTGTAAAAAAATCAATAATAATAAAAAAGAATGTGAGTATGTTTTCCATTAGAAAAAATAAGCCTATTTCGAAAGTAAGGAAAAAAAACCACCTTTTTCTTGTATTTGCCTATGAAGCAAAGGTGTTTTTTTTTTGTTTTTGTTTTTGTTTTTTTGGTTGTTGTTGTTTTTAAATATATTTTATTGATTTTTTACAGAGAGGAAAAGAGAGGGATAGAGAATTAGAAACATCGATGAGAGAGAATCATCGATCAACTGCCTCCTGTACACCCACTACTGGGGATGTACATGCCCTTGACCGGAATCGAACCTGGGACCTTTCAGTTCGCAGGCAGACACTCTATCCATTGAGCCAAACCGGTTTCGGCTGAAGCAAAGGTTTTATATATATTATTAAAATAACTATGTTGCCAAAACCGGTTTGGCTCAGTGGATAGAGCTTCAGCTTGCGAACTGAAAGGTCCCCGGTTCGATTCCGGTCAAGGGCATGTACCTTTGTTGTGGGTACATCCCCAACAGGGGGTGTGCAAGAGGCAGCTGATTGATGATTCTCTCTCATTGATGTTTCAACTCTCTGTAAAAAATCAATAAAATATATTTTTTAAAAATAATAAGAATTACGTTATGTTAATCAGGAAGTTGATTACTTCAAACAACTGTTTGACTGTTTAATGATAATAATATAATACATTAATACTGTTTAATGATAATAATATAATACATTTGACTACCTTCCCAGGGTTTGATTTTAAGATTTGCTTTCTCTCTTTATGGAAGAAAATTTTATACTTAAGGTATATGGGAAGCTCTGTCAAATAAGGAAATAATAATTATATTCTATTTATATATGCATATTAAATAGATTTTAATATGCTTTCATTTATAACTAATTGTTATAAGTTATAATATTGTGTTTTACAGAGAGGGCAAGATTTCATGTCATTAATGTTATTTTATAAATTATCTACATTTATGAAAATACAAGCAAGAAAAATCAAGAGAAAAGAAGTTTAATTATAGGACTAAGTAAACTAAAAATAATTATAGTTTTAGTAGTTATTGTTCTCATGGCAATGTGTCTGATGGCATAAATCCAATAAGAACCTGATCATTTCATAACAGGACATAAAACAGTTTCCAATTGTAGTTTTATTAACCAAAATTTTATTGGAATGTCATGTCTGAAAGAGAAACATGCCAGGACTCTGGATGTCACCAGAAGCTCTAAGGAATGAAGATTGACTTTGAAGCCAATAAGCCCCTTGGATAAGTAACCTGGTACTTTGCTTGGTCATGTGGTTCATGGCAGTCTCCAGGTAAGGAACAAAGGTTGCTTTCTGGAGAGATGGCATGAAAGAACCTTAAAACACCTGTAGGGACCTCAGGTAAGGAATGCACCCCAATTCTGTGGGTATTGCAGGCGAAGCCTGATAGCAACTGCGTGGCTTGGCTTCTTTGTCCTGGGAGTAAACTTTCTCATGAGATTCCAGCAAAGCATTTTTTTTATTTAAACAGCCTATGTAATCGACTGCTATTCTTATTGTGTTAATACAAACAATCAGACCAAATTATAACTAGACTTAATATAGTAAGTAAATTAGTCTTTAATATAAATAAGGATAATTTTAGGGGAAATTATTTCAACAGGAAATTATTAGAAACTGTTCTAACTTTTGCCCAATAATACTAAATTTTATAACACAATTTGTCTCCACCAGATTACAAGCTCTACTTACACCTAGGGAATACTACTACCTCTAGGCACTATTGCCACCTCCTCCTGTGCCCAGGCCTCATTGTCTCTCTGACAGAAAACAAGGATCTCTTGGCTCTGAAAGAAACCTTCAACCCACCTCAGCACCAAGCAGCTACAGAATAAACCCGCATCCCCTTTCCCTGAAATAATTCAGAGCCAAGATCCTTGAGGGGAATATAGTAGGCAGTTAGACAAACGTGAGCAGAGCAAGGACGATAGGCCAACTAGAGGAGAAATAGACTCTGAGACATACTTCTCACCACTCCAACTGCACTAAAGCTAGGAATAAAGGAACCTGTGTAGAACTAACGTTTAGTCATAACTAATTAGAAGGAATTTATAGTTTTCCTGTAATAGAAGATATAGAGATAAAGCGGAAAGAAAGTAGACAAACTGAAAGGGTATGTGTAAGTTACAGAAAGTATGTGTAAGTTACCGAAGGTATATATAAATTACAGAAGGCACATGTAAATTACAACAGGTATGTATAAGTTACAGAAAGTCTGTACAATTAAAAAAGAACTACAGTTAAGGAAGTAAAAATTGTAAGAAGAGATATAAAGAAAAGAATATAATAGTAAGAAAGGAAATTAGAGTAAGAATACTTAAAAATAATTGTAAAAGTTATAAGAATATTTATAAAGGTCATAGTAGGTTTATAAATAGAAATCTTGAAAAGAATTATAAGTATATAAATAATAAATCTGATAAAGCACCTAAATTAATCTGAAAAGTAATCATATTATTTTAAATCTTAGAACACATATACTTATGTAAATAAGATATTAAGTTTCTCATATGTGAATAGGGGGTTAAGTTTTTCTTAAAGTTTATTTTCAAGTAATTAAGGAGATAAACTCAGCTATGAATCCAGCAAGCAAAATGAGTAACACAGTCAGATGACCCACCAGAAGTCAATATCATCTCATCAACATCTTCTCATCACCTGATAATAGCTGATGTCTACAGACCCCAGGCCTGCACGTAGCTACATTCCTCACCCTATCCCGTCCCCTTTATAATCTTGTCCTCTACACCTTGTTAGAAGGCAAGATTTAATACTTTTAAGCATCCTGTCTTCTTAGTTAGACATCATTGTAATTCTCTTTGTTTTTCTTATAGTCTACAAAATCAGAACTCAAGCAGTGAACGTGCTTCGCAGACCCCAACCTTCCAAAGCAGAAAGTTTGCCACCTCCCTCTATCTTCTACAACCAGCAAATCAAAAAGGGGGGGAGATGTGGGGAAGCACAGGACTTGGTTGGAAGGTGTGGAAGGAGGATTCTCTGAAAGGTCGGGGCCTCTAGAGCAGTGTTTCCCAACCTTCTCTCATGATGAGAATCACCTGGTGGAGTTGTTAAAACACAGATTCCCGGATCCCAACTAAGAAGTGCTAAACTAGAATTTTTGGGAACATATAGGTAAAATTGTATACTTAACTAGTGCTCTAAGACAGATTTTATATACAGAGCACTAAGTTAGGTATGCAATTTTACCTATATGTTCTCAAAAATTCTAGTTTAGCACTTCTTAGTTGGGATCCGGGAATCTGTGTTTTAACAACTCCACCAGGTGATTCTCATCATGAGAGAAGGTTGGGAAACACTGCTCTAGAGTAGGGGTGTCGAACTCAATCAGAGAAGGGGCCAAAATCTAAAATCCAGCCTAAATCGAGGGCCAAATGGTTTACTGA